CAGTGAGATTCCTCCATTTCCTCTTCTGAGATAGAACATTTTAAGCCTAATGGGAAGACAAAATTGGCCAACCACCTCTTGAGAGTCCCATATACTTTATTTGCACAGCCCCGCACTATATGGATGCATTACTTATATTACTCGCAAGCCACCCAATCCCCTGAGAGGGTCACAGACACCTCACATGTACATAGTCCTACCCAGTCATTTCATGAGGGCCCCAACGACTGACTAGAAGAGTCATATCAAGTAATTCACTGCCCAGTGCTAAGATCTATCACAATTTGGTTTACCATAAACTCCATCTATTTTACATATTCTCCAGGACCCCTGGTGGCATATTGGCTAAGTACTCAGCTGAAAACTGAAAGGCATCTGTTCAAATCCACCAGCTGCTCTATAAGAGAAAGATGTGGCTTTCATACATTTTAGAGCTTTTGAAACCCCATGAGGCAGTTCTTTGTCGTACCGAGTTGCTATGAATTGGAACTGACCCTATGGCAACCGAGTGTACATCCTCCAGCTCTGGTCCTAAACTTGGCTGCTTCCTGGGAGGCAGGGCTCTCCCCACTCCCCAGAACCGCAAGCTCTTCTCCTGAACAGCTCCTGGTGTCACTCGTCCCAGAGGACAGGCCCTGGCAGGTTTTTCCTGGGGGATCTTGTGTCTTCCCGCAAAACCCAGCAGAATATTTGTGCTCAGATCGAGCAGACAGGACAGCAGCAGGCAGCCAGATTCGTGCAGCAGGTAAAACCCTAAGTCACTGTTGTTGTTGATGTTGTCATATTATTGTAAAGGAAATCAGCTCACTTTTGAGCCTCTGGAGTCAGCCACAGCTTTTTCTTGTCTTTTCTTTTCTTTTTAAGTGTTTGTAGGAGTTAATCTGTTATTCATACAGTAACGGTCTACAGGTAAGTTAGGTTTATTACAGGGCAACAGTTCAGTGGAAAATGTTTCCTCTATAGCAAGAGGAAGAGGAGGGAACAAGCGAGAGCATATCCCCCCACCCCACCCCTCACCACCCTCCAAAAAACCAGTGTCATTGAATCCATGCTGACTCACAGCAACCCTACAGGACAGAGTAGAACTTCCCCGGTGGGTTTCCGAACTTGTAGCTTTTTCCAGGCCTAGAAAGCCCCGCTCTTTCTCCCTCAGAGAACCTGGTGGTTCCAAACGCTGAGCTTTGCAGCTCGCAGCCCCCCACATAAACCAGGACTCCTCACTACTAGGAAAAGACACGACAACGAAATAATCGGATATGTCCCCCAAAAAGTGAGGTAGCCTATGAAAATGGATCTGGCCACTACGATGTCAACGGTGCAAAAACAAAAAGGATGGAGGGGTTGTAGCTTTCAACAAACTAAGGATACGTAATAGCCAAGTGGGATGTGTCAATCACTGACACACACCCCCTCCCATTAGGGCGCAAATGTGAGAGAGGTGCCAGTGAGGAGGAGGAAGAAAGGAGCAAAACAAGGATGGGGTCAGTCCGCTTCCTTCTGACGCTGGTGCGGAGTAGCGCAAACGCATGAGCGCACACAACACAAGCACATAAGGTTTGGAGATGGAGAACTTAACAGTGATTTTCTCTGGGTGGTGGGGTCATATGAGTTTTGCTGCTTTCTTCATTATTTGCAAAGACGCGTATAGCGATTGTAACAAGAAATACAGTTTTTAACAAAATATTTTAAGGTGGAGGCTTACCTTTGCTGATTTTGTAATACTCAAGTTCCCAACCAATTCAAAGAGAACTGTCATGTTGTACCCAATCTGATTTCCATGTCCATGAGGCCACCAGGTTTCGACAGAAATATTCTGTTAATAAATAAGTCATTCTAAGTAATCTGTGGCATATTTTCAGCAAAATATCATAATCTAAAGGCCCCCATCAATTTCTAATGTTGATAAACCCAGAAATTCTGAGATCTAAAATAGGATTAATCTTCCATCTACAATATGTCAACTCATACCAACCTATAGATACTATTTAAAAATGAATATGCTAGGAGGTTGGTATGGATTAAAATGCCAAAAGAGAAGGGACAGAAATAGCCTGGCTGTTCAAAACTATCCCTATTCCTATGGCTAACGCTGTGAGCTTACTTTGATTACACATTCTTAATACGTAGCATTTGACTGAAGGTCGATTCTGTCTCAAGTAAAGAAGTTGTTTTAAGTTTTGAAGAGTTACTGCATGCTGGTATGCTCCACTGTTTTATAATTCACAGCTTTGATTAATCAAATATAAAAGGTAAAAATCCAATCCAGCTCTAACTATAAAAATCACAAGTTCAGAATTAGCATTCTGCACACAGAATAAGCACCAATACGGAAAATAATTAACAAGCACTAGAAGTGCTGTTTAAAAATACAGTTTAGAAAGTATTTTGAGTTTAAGATATTGTAAGTCATACAGAGTATTGTAAATACTACAGAAAAAATAAAACGTACCACATTGACTTCTTAAGGAGAAAGAATGCCAACTTAGTCACGTCGTCTTGAAATTTGGGAAAGTCACCTCTCAGCTCTCATACATACACACAGAATACATGAGCGGTTACAAATAGACAAGAGACGCGAATAAGGGTTTTTCTTTCCTATTCAGTCCCTACTTTCTAAGCATTTCTTTTAAGCGGCTATTGCCTTCCATCCAGTGCACCTCAGGAATTACCATCATTTACCTTGTTAATTTTCACAAGTAGTTTAACAATCCTTTCCCCGGGTTCAAGTCTGACGCTGTAAGTCCTCCGTGTTTGCAATTTAGGGATGGCTACAGTCACCTGACCACCAACAGGCTGGGAGCTGACGACATCAAAAGAGGCCTCTATTTCAAGACTCCACTCTTGGACACTATTATCTAAGGAAAAAAAAAAAGAAGATATATATATATATATGTGTGTGTGTGTGTGTGTGTGTGTATACAGATTATTGTAAATATTATAGAAAAATAAAATGTAACACATTGTCTTCTTGAGGGGAAAGAATTCCAAATTAATCACATAGTCTTAAAGTTTGGGAAAGTCAGTTAGTACACACACAATATATTCAGCATTATCTTTGTAGTCCTTAGGAATCATTGAGGAAAAATAAGACCAAAGCAGCTTCTAACCCACTATATGCTACAGAAAAAGTTCAATAGAGATTTTCTGTTCATCTTAAAAGTTTAATCCTTCACCCTAAAGAATAA